AAAACTCACTTGTAATAAAACAAAGTCACATGGGTGCAAAATTACATAAAACACCTGTCCTCAGAAATCACAGCAAGATCCTGGCAAACTGGAAAGTAATGGCCAATTGCAGAAAATCACATGGTGCTAAAAATACATAAGTAACAGGGATTAAACAATATCCAAAGGATCCTGATTTTCCTGCAATTATAGCCTCCTTCATTTAAAGTTATTTCAAACAAACAAAAACAAAAGAAAAAGAAAAATGTCTTCAGCACTCTGGCCTTCTAAGGCCGTAGACCACATGGCAGTCTTATACCTCTACGCATGGGAAGCTAAAGACTGGGTGGCTGGTGCCATGGTATGGAAGTGCTCCCTGACAGACCACGTGTTAACGGCCCGAGCCTCAGCCCGTGGCGCTGTTGGAAAGTGGGGGATCTTTAGGAATTGAGGTGTGGTGGGAGGCCACCAGCTTCTCCTCTTTTTTTCCTAAGTCTGAGTGAGAAGTTTCCTCCATCACATGCTCCCACTGTAATATTCTGCCTGCTACAGGCACAGAACAATAGAGCCAACCAACTACGGACTGAAACACCCAAAACTGTGCACCCAAATAAACCATTTCTGTTCAGGTGGTGATTACAGGATTTTTTTTTCTTTGTTTTGTGCCATGTCTGGGGCCTGAACTCAGAGCCTGGGCACTGTCCCTGAACTTTTGTACCGAAGGCTGGTTGCTCTACCAGTTGAGCCACTTCTGGCTTTTGGTGGTTATTAGAGATAAGACGCTTACAGACCTTCCCATCCAGGCTAGCTTCCCTTCAGATCTTAGCCTCCTGAGTAGTTAAGATTACAGGCATGGGCCACCAGTACCTGGCTATTTCACATTTTTATTACAGTAACATGAAGCTAACTAACACAGAGAACAACCAAAAGTGTATGTATGACACATGGCTTGTATCTGACTGTCTTGCCCCTCAAAAAAACTCCAGCTGCCCTGCAATGAAGCAGAAAAGGAGCTAGATTGTGTATAGGACCCCACTCAATGAATCATTACATCGCACAGAAATGAAGTGACAAAGGGTAAACAAATGCAGCAGTGGAACTTACGAGACACTATGCTGAAAATGAACTATACAACTTGTGGCAGGACCAGAGGGAAAAACTAGGAGACAGCAAGACATTGTCCAAAAAGGTATATACTCATTACCTGACTTATGTTACTGTAACTCCTCTGTATAACAACAAAAATACTAAAATTTTAAAAAATCATGACATTTCCCACCACACCTCCGATGTGTAAAGCAGTGTTTACATACAAGAGATACACACACACATGTGCTACCCACCAAGACAAGGAAGGCCTTTCCCAAGATGCGCTGGGATGTAAGAAAGCTGCTTTACCTCTTACTTGTCAATCATTTGCCAGTTAGAAAAGAAGTAGAAAAGAAGTTCACATATTAACTAATATCTGAAGAATAAGTTAAACAACCAATCTCGTGAAAAGATAAATATGTATCATACCAAGGTAAACCACAGAATACTTTAATAGATGAGATGGTATGGACTAGATTTGGAATGGAATACTCAATTTTGAAAAATTATTCTTTCCCTAAAGTAATATTTTACATTTTTTGGAATTCTAGATGAAATTACAAGCCAATATTTCTTAAAAATTATTCTAACATTGATACAGAAAAACATACATGAAATAGCCAAAAAAAGAAAGAAAGAAAAAGATGAAATTTTGGAAGTGGCACTGTGGTAGAGCGCTAGCCTTGAGCTGAAGGGTTGAGGGACAGCACCCAAGCCCAGAATTCAAGCCACAGGACCAATAAAAAAAAGAAAAAAAAAGAAATTTGTCTCAGTATTTGTCAAAGAATATTAAGTCAAGATATAGAAATTAAAGTGGAATGTTAGGAAGACAGAACAAACAGAACAAGAGGAAAAGGGAACACAGCAATAAAAAGAGAAAGTGAATATAAGAAAAGTTAGATGATAAATGCTTATAGAGATAGCTGATTTAAACATATTATACAATGTGTACATATATCAAAGCATGACATGGTACACCATAATTTTTACAATTTTATATTGTATTTATCCATTTAAAAATAATCTTTTTTTTTTTTTTTTTTTGTCGGTCGTGGGGCTTGAGCTCTGGGCTTGGGCGCTGTCCCTCAGCTCTTCAGCTCAAGGCTAGCACTCTACCACTTGAGCCACAGTGCCACTTCCGGTTTTCTGAGTGGTTTATTGGAGATAGGAGTCTTACAGTCTTTCCTGCCAGGGCTGGCTTTGAACTGCAACCCTCAGATCTCAGCCTCCTGAGTAGCTGGGATTGTAGGCGTGAGCCACCGCCCCCGGCTAAAAATAATCTTTTTTAAGAGAGAAAAAACAAGGGATTTCAGATCAGAACACTCCAAATAGAGCAGGTGATAAAGGGGTTAGAAAATTTAAATACTTAAGGGGAAAATCCACATCTCCACATCCCTCTTGGGCATAATAAATTTCAAATGGATAAAATATTTAAAGATTTAAGATAGACAAGGCCATCAAGACCTTAGAAGAAAAAAACTGTTTATGAATTAAAATGGAAAAAATATATCTTAACCATGATGCAAAAACCATTAATCATCAAGTATTTTTGTGAGTGCCAGTATTGGAGCTTGAACTCAGGGCCTTGTGCTCTTGCTTAACTTTTTTGCTCAAAGCTAGTGCTCTACCATTTGAAACATAACTCCACTTCTGGCTTTTGGCTAGAGAGAAAAATTTCTTGGAATTGTCTGCCCAGGTTGGCTTTGAACCATGATCCTCAGATCTCAGTCTCATGAATAGCTAGGATTAGAGGCATGAGATACAGGTGACCAGCATTAACATTTTTTTTTCCTTTGGTAGGTCGTGGGGCTTGAACTCTGTGCCTGGGCACTATCCCTGAGTTCTTCAGCTCAAGGCAAGTGTTCTACCACTTGAGCCACAGTGCGACTTCCAGTTTTCTGGTGGTTAATTAGAGATAGGTTTCACGGCCTTTTCTGCCTGGGCTGGTTTTGAACCCTGAGTGATCCTCAGATCTCAGCCTCCTGAGTAGCTAGAATTACAGGAATGAGCCACTGGCATCCAGAAACAATTATGTTTAACTCTAAAATATTGAAAAATAAAGGAAAGAAATATTTATAATACAATAAATAAGCTAGTGTTCAATGTCATTTATACATCAAACCTTAAGCAATAATAAATACAGGTATTCCTCTGCATCCACAGATTCAAAAAACATTTAAATTAATCTATTTTTAAAATATATTTTAAGACAAGTGTTAGTGGCTCATACCTGTAATCCTAGCTACTCAGGAAGCTGAGATCTGAGGACTGTGGTTTGAAGCCAGCCTAGGCAGGAAAGTCCATGAGACTCTTATCTCCAATTAACCTCCAAAAATCTAGAAGTGGAGCTGTGGCTTAAGTGGTAAGAGTGCTAGCCTTGAGTGAAAATGCTCAAGGATAGTACTCAGGCCTTGAGCTCAAGCCCCAGAACCAGTACAAAAACATTTTTTAATACATAGTTAAATATTCACATCTAACCAAGTATGGTGGCATGTATCTATGATGTCAGCTTCTTGGAAAGTGGAGTTCAAGACAGTTCAAGGACAGTTAGGCAGAAGTTAGCAAGACCCTATCACAAAACAACCTAGCTACTTAGGTAGAGGTAGGAAGATCAAGGTTCAAGGCCAGCCAGGTAAAGTTAGCATGAAAGGCTATCTAAAAAAACAAATTAAAAGCAAAAGGTATGGGAGGGTAGAGGTCTATATAGGTGCTAGACCCGCAGCTCAATTCTCAATGAAAAAAACAAACACAACACGACACTTATCTATCTGAACAGACTTCTGTCTTATTATTTCCTAAAGAACTACCGCTGTAACAACTATTTACATTGCACTTACATCCACTTATATCCTGTTGGGCATTGGGATGACAAGGGCATGATGAAATGTTTTTAAAGAATATAAGAAAGGGACATTTACCTTGTTGACAGAGTCAAATTACTGTTTGGAAACATGAATAGTGATACAGATGGAAGGGCAGGCAGAAGTCTGAAATTAAGAGGGTGGACAGGGAGTCCAGAAAAATTAGTCAGTCATATACAGGAATTTAGCTTATGATCATCAAGCTGGAAATTTTAAGTTAGTAGAGAAAAGATCAATTGTTTAATAAATACTGATGGAGAAATTACTGACTATATAGGAAAAATAGTGGATACTCTCCTTTGACTATGAATTTATTAACGTTTTAAATAGAAGGACTAGGATACAACTCAGTGCAACACTTGCCGTGTGTGATACCCTGCGTTCAAATCCCAGTGCTACAAAAAAATCAAACGCAGAAAATGCAGACAAGAATGCTACTAACCCAACAGTGGAGGGTTTTAATCAACCTTTTACTTCTAAGTATGAGAATCCTAGAAGCTCCAAAAGGAAAAAAGGGACAAATCTGATGATAATAAATTTTAAATTCTATAGCTAAAAGTTCCATATGCTGAATCTATCTAAAATAATAAGTTGACAAGAATGTACAAGGGGGAAAGTTGACAAGAATGTACAAGGGGGATTGTTGGGTGAAACTGGTGGGTATTAGAGGGGGAAATGAGAGGTTGTTGGAACAATGAATATGATTGGTGTGTGTGTGTGTGTGTGTATGTGTATACACACACAGAGCACACAATCTCATTTGTACAGAACATACCCCCACATTATACACACATGCACCTTGACGGACCAATGGATGCTGACAAAATCACTGAGACTTAGAACTTTACTTTTTTCTTTGAACTTCTTTGTATTTACTATATTTTATTAACTTGGATATATTTTTCAGTATAGTTTTCTCCCCCCAAAATAAATGACATAAATTAAACTAAGACTCAGATGGAAGTTACATGACCAGCTAGTCATGTAACTAGGAAAGAAGATTCAGAGCTCTTAGATGTGTGTGCAGGTGGTTTATTGGGGAGTGAGGAACATCGGGGAAGGAATGACCAGAAGGAAAGGTGAGCTACATGCAACAGCAGCCCAGGCCTCTGCGGCCTTCAGACAGGACTCTGGAGCTAGGATGCCCTTCAGTTATCCCAAATGAGAGCCTTTGTACCCCCTCAACCACCAGTCACTGTACACAGACTGTCCCCAGGGAGGAGGTGAAACCTAGCCAAGGCTGCTCACCTCAGTCCAGAGCAATTCCAGGATCAGACTCAGCCAAGAGGCCTCATGGACAAATGTGCCTCTGTGCTGACACCACAGCATCTGCAGTCCTGGAACAGGCACCAAGTGGGGCCTGCAGACAGAGAAAGGAAGGAAAAAAACATCAGAACTAATATGCCACACACTGCAAGCCATGGGTTTGCTACTCTCTGATTTCCTATTTGATCTCAGAAGTCGTATAAGCCAAGTGCTTGATTTCATCATTTTTTTCTATCTATAGAAACTAAAGCTCAATGATAGAAGTAAAACTTGTCTAAGAAGCAGAATTAAGATTTAAACCCAGACAGAAAACCTTTGGTCCACAGCCTTTTCTACCCCCAGAATTAACTCCCAAAGATGAAGCCTTGTTTGGATTAACTAAAATGAAAAATGTTAACAGCTAATGGCATCCCAAAAGACCTTTAAAGACACACTGGCAACAAGAACAAAGAAGAGAAAGCTCTGCTTTGGACAGAAGTGGTGCAAGCAGGCTAATAATGAAAGGGGTGTAAGCAGGCTAGCACTGGGAGGCATGTAAGCAGGATAATACTAGAAGAGTTGCTCAGTATATTTTTCTTCAAATCTTCCTCAAAGTTAACGTGTGTGTCAAAAGTGCATGACCTGAATCTAACACAGCAGGAGAAAATATTGAAAAACAAACTCAACAGAATGACTCAATAACCAGCTTGAATTTTCCAAAAATGTCAAGGTCACTCAAAGCAAAAGAAAGCTGAATAACTATTTCACATGAAAGGAGACCAAAGAGAAATAAGAAGTAAGTGGAACACATGGTCTTGCTTTAGGGAAAATGATGTAAAGGACACTCTTAGGACTTGGGCCAATTTTAGTATGGACTTCATGGACTGCAATGTTTTGTTTAGTGACATGAGCTTCCTTTTAGTAATCATGCATACATATTTAAAGGAATGTGCTTGTTCTAGGATTACATGCTTAACTCATTACCTAGAGATGAGAACTCACGACACTGGGAGCCAGCTCTTGTCTTGGCTAGTTTCTGTGGCTCTAAGAAAACACCTGAGGGTTGGTAATTTAGTAAAATCAACAACAACCAAAAAAAAAAATCAAACAAATTTATTTTGACTCATCTTTGGAGTCTGTATCTGGTAAGGGCCTTGCACTCCTCTGTAAGCTGGGATAATGTTCCAGTTGGTGTTTTTGCTTATTGCTGGGATAAGGTTGGTTCAATCCCATATTGGAGAGGGGTGACTGAGAGTTTAGATGAGTCTGTCTGTGCCAATAAGATCCCTTTATTTCCAAATTTAAGCAACAAGGAGATCACAGAAATAGTTTCCAATCAAGGTTTATCTGGAACTTATTAGGAATAAAAGTTAAGTTTGGCCAATAAGTACTTGTAAGAGTTATTTATTCCTCTATAAGTCTGACTATAAATACTGTAGAGTATTGAATCTGTTATGACAAAAGACTTAAGAATAGTCATGATGAAAGTTTGAAACAGTAATTGCTTAAACAATTTAGTTATATTTATTGTATATAGAGTTTTAGGATACTAATTAAGATTGACAGTATTATATGCAACCAAGCCATTTTAATCACAATGAGGTATGTGCTTGGGACATTAATTTGGCATTAAAGCTACATGATGAATGTAATGTCCTTCCCCATTTTGTATCCAAGGTGGCTTAGATACTTAGTTAAAAAGTGACCACTTGTAGAACACTGACATAAACACTTAAATGAATGTTGGCTTATTTACTACTTAGTTTTACACCAGTGTATTAATTTTGTTCTTAGAAAATAATCTTTAAATCAGTATTTAAGACAATTTGCACATTCCAAATTTTTTAAATTATAACCCTTAGATACATTTGTTAGGTACTAACAAATATTAAAATGTTTAAGGTAGCTTTCCCCCATCCCCTTTTTCAGCCTGTTGAGTCAGGTACCCCTTGGTTAGAGTGCTAACGCTTTTCATCTGGAATTCCAGTGGTAAATGACATATTTTTGCCCAATACTTGATAGACCAATGCAGGAGCGGGGTGACAAGATGGCACAGACCATCTTAAAGCTTAAGTTGGATGAAATCACATCGCTAATGTTAGAAAAACAAAGACTAAAAAAACTTTTGCTGGGGCTGGGAAGGTGGCTCAGTGGTAGAGCGCCTGCCTTGCATGCCTGAGGCCCTGGGTTTGATCCTCAGCACTACATAAGCAAAAAGAAAAAAGCCAGAAGTGGCGCTGTGGCTCAAGTGGTAGAGCACTAGCCTTGAGCTGGAGAGCTGAGGGACAGTGCCCAGGCCCAGAGTTCAGGCCCCACAACCAGACCCAAAAGAAAAATTTTTTTTTTGCCAACAGCAAACAGAATCTCTACTCTTAAACATAGGTAACCAAGAATGAATACTTTTAGAACTTTATTGGAACAAGGCTTAACATTAGTATATGAATTAGCCTTTGAACCCTGTTGCATGGGTTTTAGTTTGTTTATGATCTTTAAGGAGAAAGGCTGGACTTTTTGGATTGTGATTAAGGCATACTATTTATTTATCTTGGCAGTGTCTGAGGCCAAGCTTAAACATCCCTGTGGGAATCACCCCTGGGATTTTCTGTGTCCTCAATATAAACATACCTATGACCATCTCTATGGGTTCCCATCTGCAAAATGGGAAGGAAACAGAGCTGGCCTGAGGGTACGCCTTGTCCCCAGGCATCCCCAGGGCAAAGGGCCCTTTAATTTCAGGGAGCCATCTCTCCCGCTTGTGTCCCATATGTCTGTAGGTAAGACTGCTACCACTGCACCTACTCTACCCTACGGGTCATTGCCGCTCTCTAAGTTCCTGTGGGATTTTCTTTCTCCAATATCACCAATCCTGCCAAAATTGGAAAGCCTCGATCTCAAATTGTACTTTGGCTGGAAGGGTAAAGTTGAGTCTGGATAGACTAGGGGAAATGAGGCATGGCAGACAGGAGCCAGTAATTTGGAAACAAACAGTGCACTTAGAAGTAGGGAAATACTATCTTTGCCTCAACCCTTATACTCTCTCACAAGCTGCAATATTAGGAAAAGAGGAAGAGCAGCTTCTCCCAGCTAACGATGTCTTCTGGCCCCAAATAATTAATGTGCTGCCAAACTGAGAAAGGGTATCTCCAAAAGACATGCATCTGGAAAAGCAAACACCCAGGAGATTGGCCCCTCCCAGGACAAAGCACTTATTGAAAGGATAAACATGTTCCCTAGCATGCTGGGGTTTTTTTTTCCCTAGAAGGGATGCCCAAACATAATGGTCAAACATGTCAGAGCCCCTGAGCCCAGGTGACAATAGTTAACACCAAGAGTGATCAAGAGAGCAAAGATCAACACTTGTCTGAGCACAGTGAGAGCACCCACACTCTGTCAGAGTGGCTCTGTCTGTCCACTTGCTCACAGAAGTGTGGACCAGGACCAAAGGGGCTTTTGGAGTCCAATGTCGGACCACTTATAGCAGGGTTCCAGAACTGTAAAGGTCACCCACTCCTGAGGGAGATCAGAGAAGAACTCCAAAGAGAGGAAAAAGACAAACTGTGGACCACAGGATGGCTGGTGAATGTCAGAGATAAGCTACAATTTATAGCTCCTTCTGAGGAAGTGGACTGACTCCCTTGGCTAAAGCAAAGCCTGGAGAGCAGCATGACCACTGCACTGCCTGGGGACAAAGACAGGAATTAGTCCTAATCTCAGGCAACACAGAGGCCTTCCAGACCTGGTGAAAGACAGTCCTCCACTGCTGCTGGGCCAGCCACTCACAGGAGGAACAGGCTGGCCCAGAAAGAGTTACCTCTGAGCCCCCACCCCACCCCCATCCACATGGCCTTGGCATTTGGTATGAATCCCTGGTTGGCTCCTGGAGCAGCAGCTCCCTTCTGTGAGGGGGGAAGGTCCCAGGTTCCCTGCCTTTAAGCTAAAGGAGACTTGAGAGGAGCTTTCCCATTCCCTGGGAGGAAGTCTTAAGGGGAAAGAAAAAGAGATACCCCACTGGGAAGTTCCACCTCACTTCCTCTCAACACTTGAGCTGCCAGACAATGTCCAGAAAATCAAGGCCTTTTCTGGAGACCAGTGTCAGGATTTCAGTGGTTACATTACCTTTTGCTGTCTTTGGCCCCATGTTGGGTGTCAAGATAATGCATGAGCCTTGTTACCATCCGATCCTTTTTCTAGCCCGATGCGTTCTTGTTCACTGATAGTATAAAAATAAAAGAGGAACAATGAGCACAGTTGTAAAGAGTTTATTCAGTAATGAGAAAGTAAAGACCACTCAGGAGAGTACAAAGTGGGACCCAGACACCAGTTGCTTTGATTCTTATCATTTTTATAGGCACTCTTCTGGTCAAAAGAATTGCTGTACCATGCATCCCTAACTCCTAATTCTGGCTGGTTTTGACTCCCACACCACCTGTCCCTATTCCAGCTGCCTTGGAGAGAGCGTCTAGGACAGCGTCACAAAGTCTTTCTCCATTAAGCTCTATGAAGAGAGGACAACACAAAACCTAGTTCATACATCTGGAGAAATATGAAAATTGGGGTACAGAGATGCAAAGGGAAAATCAGAAGTAGTATGAGAGGAAGCTAGTACAGGAAATATGAACTTGAAAGATGGAGTTTCCAGTGCCAGGTCCCTTATGTAGGGAGGGTGCCATCCTCTCATTTACCACTTACATCCTGGACACTGCATGCCCCGCACCCCACTGTGATGTGAGGAGGAACAAGAGACTAAGCAAAAAAAGCACTGTGCAAACTACAAGTGCTGAATATCCTGTAATTATACACTACTGCCTGCTGCAAAGCTTAACTAGAGCTCTATGGGACACAGACAGCAGCTCAATTCATGAACAAATCTAGTCTGCCACTTCTTTTTTTGTCGGTCGTAGGGCTTGAACTCTTTGCTTGGGCTGTCCCTCAGCTCTTCAGCTCAAGGCGAGCGCTCTACCGCTTGAACCACAGCCCCATTTCCGGTTTTCTTGTGGTTTTATTGGAGATAAGAGTCTCATGGGCTTTCCTGCCTGGGCTGGCTTTGAACCATGATCCTCAGATCTCAACCTCCTGAGTAGCTAGGATGACAGGCGTGAGCCACCAGTGCCCAGCTTCCGCTACTTCTTTTACAGCTGCTTTGAGAAGATTTGGGAGACAGGGACTCACTAATTTACAAATCTAATTATGTGTTGTCAGGCCCATGGAGGACAGAGGCAGAGAAAAGCCACTTCCTTTTACACCACCTGTCCCAACCTCGGGGGCACTGGTCTGAAACCACTCGAACTTGCAAAACAAGTTGTGCTAAAAGTTCCTGCTGACTCCAGCCATATAAACCTTGCTACAACCAGACTCTGCAGGACCTCTCTGATCCCAACCAGGAAGCTTGCCTGGGAGCGTGCCCCAATAAACTTTTCTTTTATTCACCTTTACCTCTTCCTGCGTGTTCTTTCCTCGCCTAACACCTTACATGTGTTAACTGACAAACTTATTTGTGAGAATTTCCCCTTTTTCTCTATTCTTCAAAAGAGTTTAGGCATTCGACACTCTGAGAGATTTTATGTGGCTTTTTCCTAGATACCTGCTCAGACCTCCCATCCTTCTCTTCCCACAAGCAACCAGAAGTCACTAAAAATTTATTTCTTTTCCTCTCACATTTCTTACAGTAAGAGCGTTCATTTCTCTGCTCCTCCACAGTGAAAATGGCTAGCCTTTCTGTCTCCATTTTGGTTGCTGTTCTGTCTGACTTCTTCAACCTGGGCCCCACAATTTCCTCCTTTCTGCACAGAATCTGCCCATGTCCAATAACTTGGGTTGAGGCTCTATACAGACTTGGGAGTTTCTGTTCTATCACACCCTTGCCTGGCCATTTTCCTACATGCATCCCACTGAATTGTAGTTTGCATTATATCCAGACCCATCTTCACCTCAGAAATCCAGAGGTCTCAAAGTCAAAAACGCCCAGGAAACATTTTGGACTGCATTTTGATCCTCCAAAAGGGGCACAGAACTCAGCATTTCCTAAACTGTCCTAATTAGGACTCTGCTTCCTAAACCATCCTGATCGACAGACATTCCATTTCGTAGGACTGCACGTAGTTTCCACTCCTTCCAGGCCTAGGAAAGAGATAGCTCATCTTTTGCCTCAGTCCTTTATCTTTTCTGGAACAATCCATCTCCCCTGCAGCCAGTGGCCTACCACTCAGTCCTTGGGGCAGAAGGTAAATAGATAACAGAATTTCCTCATCTAAAGTTGGCCCACACAAGCCTCCACAATTTTGTTTTTGGAGGGGGAGGAGGGGCTTGAACTCCGGGGCCTGGGCACTGTCCCTCAGCTCTTCAGCTCAAGGTAAGCACTCTACCGCTTAAGCCACAGAGCCACTTCTGGTTTTCTAGTGGTTTATTGGAGATAGGAGGCTCATGGACAGGCTGGCTTTAAACCATGATCCTCAGGTCTCAGCCTCCTGAGTAGCTAGGATTACAGGCGTGAGCCACCAGCGCTGGGCCTCCACAATCTTCTCCATGCTCTTTCCCTCTTCCTGAACCAAGAAAGAAACACCCAGGAGCCCTTGGGAGAGCAGAAAGCCATTTGCAGCCAAGGTCCTGGACTGGCCATGTGGAGGAACTGCTGCAACCCGCTCAATGCCTGCTTAGGACTATTTCATCAGTAAAATAAGCCCCAGAATAACATGTAACATTGTAACAGGAAGCCATGACACTTTAAGACTTACTAGTCAGCCTCACTGAGTAATACTATCCTGTTTTCTCTTTCACTCCCATTAATTTACCTTCTGTTCTCTACATTGTCATTGAGAAAGCCCATGAGCACACACTTTGTGTGTGTGTGTGTGTGTGTGTGTGTGTGTCGGCTGTGGGGCTTGAACTCTGGACTCTGAGTGCTCTATCGCTTAAGCCATAGCGCCACTTCTGGTTTTCTGGTGGTTTATTGGAGATAAGAGTCTCAGGGACTTTCCTGCTGGCTTTGAACCATGATCCTCAGATCTCAGGCTCCTGAGTAGCTAGGATGACAGGCGCCTGGCTCAGACTTGACTTCTGTCAAATACCGAATCCTTGTCCCAGACCAAACCTCTCCATGCCATCTGACCTTGCTCACTGTTGTCTGAGTATCTGCAAGTCTTTCTGTTCTGGGACTGTGACACACACAATCTTCACGCCCAGCTTTTGTTCTCTCTTGTGTTATGCTCTCACATAGTTTCCTGACTGACCCCTCAGTTTCTATCATTTCATTCATACACTGCTTTAGGGCCTCAGGCTGATGGCAACTCATTAAACCTTACACCCATGCCCCAGATTGTTCTTTCCCAATTGCTAGGGGATTTCTTCACTTAGAAGAAACGTCTGCAGTAAACAGACATGGCCAGGAACAGCCACCTGGAATTCCCATGTGATTCCTTCCTATCTTTCAGGTCATCGCTGACATGCACTCTTCTAATTGCCCTACCCCACCCCTTTCTATTCCCTTAGCCTGAATTTTAAAAATAAGTTTTGTGTTACCATTCATTTGTCATAGCAGGGGATTTCACTGAGATCTTTCAATGAAAGGAAGATATACCTAATGTACAGCTCTCCATCTTATTCCTGTTCTTTTTCCCTCCACTTTTCAGTGTTTGATGGCTTTCATAATGCCATACTTACACACATGAAGACAGAAACATACACATATCTGTAATATCCTTCAATCCTCTTTACTCCTTAGTAAACCTTTCTACCTCCATCCCTTTCCCACCGATGCCTTCCAAGCTGTCCTCATTTAAAATTCAGGTCCAGTACCTCATCATCATTGTATGTCTATACTCCAGAAATGAACATGAACATGAGAAATTTTCTGGAGTTTGGCTTATGTCACTCAACATGATCTCCATATCCATCCATTTCTCTGTAAATGACAAAATTTCATTTTTATGGGTGAATAATATCCATGATATATGTACATCTATTCATCAGTTGTTGGGCCTGTTTTGTTTTCCTTTACAGCCTTATTGTTGCTTGGGAATCTATCAAATCTTGTTTGTATTGTGTTTGTCTCACAGGGAAGTGGTTTTCTATTTGTGTTATATTATTAGTACTTGTAACAGTGGCTTGCATATAGTAGCTGTTCATCAAAACTGTTTAACTAAGGCCCAAAGGTTCTTCTGTTATAAGGTGTATGTGTGTGCGTGCGTGCACGCCAGTCCTAGGGCTTGAACTCAGGACCTGGGCACTATCCTTGAGCTTTTGTGCTCAAAGCTAGTATTCTAGCACTTGAGCCATAGCTCCACTTATGGTTTTTTGGTAGTTAATTGGAGACATTCCTGCTCCAGATGGATTCAAACTGCAGTTTTCAGCCTCCTGAGTAGCTAGGATTACAGGTGTGAGCTACCATTGGTTGGCTGCTTTAGTTTTTTTCAGATACATTTTCACCCAGGACTGGCCTTAGGCCAGAATCGTCCTCCCTAAGGCCTCCTGTGTATATAGGATCATAAGTGCATACAATCAAGTCAGGTTTGTAACATGCTGTAACATGGCAGAAGGGCAAGTGAGAACACATGTTACAAAGAGAGACACCTGGGTAGAATTCTTGCACTAACTAACCCACTACCTTGATAATGGCCTTAATCCATCTTGAAGGCATTGCTCTCTTGATCTAGCACTTTTTAATGATTGTACTTCACAGTGGCAAATGAATGTCAACGTAAATTTTGGAGGGAACATTCAGGCCATAGGAGCCATGTGCTAATAATCCCTGTGGACACAGAGATCAGTGGATCGTGCTTCCCTGAAGAATCTCACCATCTGGCAAGGCATGAAACCCTAAACGACTTCAATGCTAAGGACTGAAGCTATCTGCCCGTGGTGGGATGAAGTGGGGGTGCTCTGGAAACACAGACGACAGAACCAATATCTACCAAGATCTGCTCTGGAAGAGATAAAAAGAGAAATGGCATTTGAACTGGAATTAGGAGGTGATGAGAAGCCCCTAAGTTTATTTATTTATTTATTCATACAACAGCTGGCTGGGAACCAATTCTGTGCCAAGTACTGTGTTAGCCTTTGGGGAGACAGTAAAGAACTGAGTTCCTGCCCTCAAAGAATCCGTAGTCACACAATTACCTCAACGATGTACAACTACATCTAGGGGGCAGTAGCAAGGACAGGTTTAAAGTTTTGTGAAATATGAAATCAATGTTTGTGAGTTAACAAATCTATAGA